AACTACTGATTAGACTAATACTTTTTTTTTCCTTATATAAATCTTGATATGCTTTACAACTATATGGCTGAAAGACCTTGTGTACTGAAGGACAAATGCCAGGAAATAATGAGAAACTGTGTAGGGAGAAGAAAGCTTGTGCAGATTGCTGGACAAAACTAACCTTTTGGAAGACAGGCATGAAATTTTGTGTCAATGTAAAACATGTTGGTTTTTTAGCATCCAAGAAAACACCCCTTAAGAAATGTAGTGAAACTGTTAGTGTTTTGCTTTTTTTTCTTCCCTGAAAGAAGGACTCTTAATTGGCACTGTCACTTGCTGATTTAACTGATAAGAGTATTTCTTCTGTAAATTAAAATATATAATTTCCTGAAATCTTCTTTGGAAATCTGAAAGATGCTGCATAGTACAGAATTAGGAGATCTCTGAATATAGAGGATGAGTGTGTCCAGTGGTATGATTTGACTGTATAAGTAGAGCTTATACAGTTATGCAGTTTATAGGCTTTTACAGCTTCAGTTCTACCTCTGTCTTTGTGCATCTACCCTATATTTTAAGTGAAATGGTTCATTAATGGTGTTTCTCAATGATTTTACTGAAAAGGTGAGGTGATTTTACTGAAAAAGTGAAAATAGCTATGCTGATGGTTTTGAGCATTTAGCACAAAAGAGTTAATGCACTTGTCTGTTCTTTCTCTAAAAACATTTATTCATCTCATAGGTATTTACTGTGAAAAGGATAAAACCTTTGCCAGCTGGTGGGAGTTTTTTTTCCCCGTCATTGAAGGAGGGGAATTGTCATTTGGTTTAATACTTGTAGAAACAACAAAGGCCTCCAGGGCATTGTCATGCTCTTTTTCTACTGCTGGTTTCCATGATCTCAAGCAAAGGATCTTAAAGGAAGCTCATGCAAAGTCCTGTAGAAAAATCATACTTTGTTAACTTATTGACTTCAAACCCACATAAAAATGACGCTGGAATCATGGTAGGAATGCTGATTACGTGGTCTCATGGTTGTTGAAAAGTAAAACCTGGTTTTCTATAGCACTTTGTTCCAGAGTGCTTACCACTGGTGGAGAGGTTGAAAGTCCCAGTGTGTGAGTTTGAGCTGTAATAGGTGAATACAATTTAGAGACTAATTTAACATGGTTGTGCAGCAATATAAACTGCCATCTCAGGTGTTATAAAGGAAGACAAAGTAATACAAGGAAATTATAAACAAAAAGAGCCCAAATGTGTCACAGTCTGTCTCATAATTTTGATGTAGGTTACTAGCAGTCAAATAAGAATGTCAGTTAATGTCAGTATGATTTTTGAGATTTTTTTTTTTTTCCTTCCTTTTTGGAATACTTAGTTTACAAAGCTAGTCTTGTTGGGAAAAATTGATACTACATGTCCACAAATTTAACTTAGATTTTTTGGCTCATATAGTAGTAATTTGTTCTGGGGTAAAAAGAAGTTTGATTGTTTGTAAATATTTATATTTATTTATATATTCTATACTATATTCAGTTTGAGTAATCCTGATTAGTATTTCTTGTGCCAGTCTTGCATAAGGCAGTAAATTCTCATGGGTTGTGCAAGAGCACGGACAGGCAGCTACTGCAGAGAAAACATTCTTTGGGTCATGAGGCATGAAGGGTATGCCTTTTGCTCTCTTGCAAAGCATTTTATGATCTTACTGAAAAAGACTCGTTGGCCATTTTAGGGAAATTACTTCTGGATATGCGATCTCAGCTGTCAAAAATTATGGTCTCCCTAATACAGAGATAATGAATTGTCAGATTATGAGGAGCCACGCTTGTAGTCTCAGAGGGTATGGATCTTCTGGCATCTTGAGGGGTGAAGTTGCTATCACAGAAATTAAAATTTCTTGGCAGTTGTGTTGGAAAATAGCGGTTGCTCTCAATTTTGTGGTTAGTGTCTCTATCAGTTTAGAGCCTAGGCCCTGTAAAATTTATATTAAAACTTTCTGAATCCCTCGAGATTCTGAATCTCAGGATCCGAAAAGCAAATGGCACTACACTCTGAAGAGGCAAGGGAATGAACAGTATTTGGTCCTCTGTATACATGTAGGTAGCACTTGTTTTCTAGGACATGGAGCTTGCTGTCGCTTCTATCTGCCTAGTTGTTTTACTAAATTTGATCTCGTTTTTTCCCTTCTATATAGGGTTCCTTTTCAACTTTAGAAGCTAAGCAATGTATTGTTCCCCATTTGCCTCCAATAACTGATATCACAGTGTATAGTCATTGCATTTCTCCACGCTTTTTGATACTTATTCTTACACAGATGTATGTAAGCAAGTGTGATACTAGTGAGTTTTTGAGCTAGCTGCATTTTGTTTGTTGTAATTTTGCACCTGGCTTTGGCCGTGTTGAAGGCTTTTGTACGCTGCAAGGCTCTTGCTTGTGTCTTCTGTTTCCTGTGTAGAGTTCATGGAGAATGTGTCAGGGCAAACAGCTGATGCCAAAGGCACTCTGTCTTGTGTGCAACAGTGGATAAACAGTCTTCATCCCAGAGAATGTTCTAATACATTTATATATTCCTATGCTGTTGCTGAAATAGGTTTCTGTATGACTGTTCCTGGAACATTGGCTTAGCTACTGATCTTTTTTGTGATTTTTTTTTTTTTCCTTGTTTTCTTTTGGTTCTCACTGGTGTATTTCTAAGAATGTTTAGATACTCTAGTCTACTGGTTTTGCCAATGTTCTTCAGGGCCATGTCTGGGCTTAGTAGAATTGTTACATTTAACACCATCGCAGCACTCTTTTTTTTTGTTGTTGTTGTTTGTTACAGTTACTTTTTTTCTCTCCTAAAAATAATTAGGATTTTTTCTGCTATTTGCTGGGTTAATGATATCCAGAAACTAAAAAGGATGAGTCAGCTTTTCATGCAAAATCATTGTGCAAGAGTCAGATGGCTTTTTGAGAGCTCCCTCTCCTGCACATTCAGACCCTGATTTTCAGACCCTGATTCAGACCCAAAGTCTTCCTTTGTTTAATCTTATTGTGTACAGGTTTCTTTTTGTATTTAATCTTATTTTGTATGCCTTTTTGTAACTCATGTGAGAAAGACATGAGGTTCACTGTGGATGAACACGAACCGGGCTTCAATAACTGTTTAATAATTAGCATCTCATTTATTTGGACACTTTTAATCTTCAGTAGAGAGTTGAAAATGTTTCCTCCTTGTTTAGTTTTCGTGCTTCATTCCATTGTGGCCATCCTTTTCCTTATTTAGGGATTTCCCAGGCCACCATTTACCTGCTGAAGATCATGCGATTTCTCTGTGGCAATTAAGGCAGATCATTGCATGGAGGAGCATTTAGGAATCCACTTAATGAATTTTTAACACTTTTATTTCAATGCAGTTTGTTGCTGGGGAAAAGGAAGTTCAACCTGGCATATTGCCACCAGGCATTTCCTTGTGATTCATTAGAGTTTGTGAGCCATCAGTTTAGTAACCTTTCTTATACAGGTTGATTGGAACACTACATGAGCACATTGAAATTGATTTGCAACGTGTCATTTGCATGATTAACAATTCTGTGTGTGGCTTTTCTCTTTAGGGTGGACGACATTCCTCCAGGAATATCACTGCTTCCTGATAACATTCTTCAGGTCCTCAGGCTCCAGCTGCTACAGTGTGTCCAGAAAATGTCAGATGGACTAGAAGAGCAGCAGCAGGCTCTGTCACTTTTACTTGTGAAATTCTTTATCATCCTTTGCAGGTATTTGTTCTGATTGTTACCTCAGCAAAGCTATTGTTTTGCTTATGAAATCTTGATGCAGCTTATAAATACAGATTCTAATGACATGTACAATGTGATTTGACACTTTCCGGTAGAAACAGACAAATGCACCTTCTCACAATCTTCAAAATACAGGAAGAGGGAATAAAAGAGAGAGGGGGGAGCAATGCAGTCATCTTAGCAATAATGTTTGTAATGAGAAATTAAATAGAAGGGGATTAGATGCTAAATTCCTTGTAATTACATAAAATAAATCTATGGGAATTCAGACTATGGTGTACCTGGTATGAGAATACTTTTAAAAGAAAAGGCACACTCTTAACAAGTGTTGGATATGAAATAACTCGAGAAAGAATAGTACATAAAGAAGTGTTTCACATTCTTAACATGCTTATAATTCCATAAACAGCTTAGGAAACTGACTTATTAGACTGTTAATGCCACTGGCTTCTTTCTGAAACTTATGCCTTATTTTGTGATTCTGTTGAAGCAGGTGAATAAACAGTTTTTTAGGGATCTATTCCTCACTATTTCTTCAGTCTTCTCTCGTAAACTGCACTAAAAGAGGAGAGGGATAAAATATAATAAGAACTCTCCTTTTCTGACGAGTATTTGAAGCAGCTTTTTTTGAGTCCTTTGGCTCTCCTTACCCCGAAACAATACAAAGGACTGTAGGGCAATGTTTAAATATCCTGGAATATTAGATATAAGCTGAGTAGAGAGGGTGGTAATGTGCTTCTGAATTACAAACTGTTGTCAGTCTTTCTTAATTGCTGAAAAATTCTCCTTTTGTCATCACTTCAGTATCTGATTTTTATGACTTGTTCTCAAGACTGAGAAATAATGTGTGCATGCTGTTTCTTTGTTGCTATTGATTTATTTATGTTCTTCTTGGGAGAATTTAAAGTGAATAAATGCTTCTAGGTAGTATGTTTGCTAAAGTTTTAGAAAGTGTATGCACTAGTAATGTGGGAGAAGTGGAAGTTATTGTCTTTATCAGATGACTTTCTGAGCTTTCTATTTAAAGTGTCCTGGGAATCTGCTTAACCTCTGAAACCCCAAATTCCAGATAGAATTGGCCTACAGCAGAGTGACTCAGGCCTTTCTTTTCCTTCCTGTTAGAAGAAAACTTGTGAGCTCTGTTACTGTGACAGATAAACATTTGAGTACATGCAGTCTTTTGGAGAGTATTTTTGAAATGCTGATATACTTTTATATGATTATAGACAGAATGCTAAGCCAAACATTGTTTGAACTAGCCTCAAATTGTACACTGTGTACATTTCTGTGGTTTTTATGTTGTCTTCATAGAAATTTGGCTAATGTGGAGGAGATTGGGATGTGTTCATACATTAACCATGTTATCACCATGACTACATTATACATTCAACAGGTATGTGGTTTACAATTCTCATCTGTTATTTTTGCCATTCAATACTCCCTGCTTATGCGATCTGCTTTTTCAATGATAGTATTGTGTGGGGAGCAATTTGTGGGCTCAGAAGTGTTTTGGAGGAGATCAAGGTTAATTTTCAACTTCTAGAAATCTTCTGACTATAGCTTTCTCTTTTTTCCCCCCTTAGTTAAAAAGCAAAACAAAAGAAAAAGAAGTGGAAGATCAGACTCCCATAGAAGAATTTGTGAGACATGCATTGGCTTTTTGTGAAAGTCTCTATGATCCATATCGAAACTGGAGGCAGCGAATTGCAGGGTATGTGTGGACTAAGACAGGATTATAAATACTGTGGTTTATGATAACTTTAGATAAACAGTTTGTAAAGTTTCTGATGGAACTACTGCTACTTGATGTCAAACAAATAAAAAGTACTTACATGTATATTCTTCTGCTGTTGCATTTTACAACTGTTAGAATTGATAGCCTTGAGCACTTGATACTGTGTTTTGGTTTGGTTTTTTTTTTCCAAAAAATACACTCTTTGGAATAGCATTAATGAAATAGTTTTTCTACCGCAATTAACATCGTGAAGCAGACGTACTTGAAACTGAACTTCATAGCCACCACAGTTATCAGAGTACTAACATGTCCTGTTCCATTTAGTGGAAAGCTGGGTTGTGAGGCTTTTTGAAAGGTAGGAAGTGTAGAGAGCCAGGAAATGGGCTTTCTGAGATTCTTAATTTTCTGTCATTCTAGGCACAGGCCCTGTTCTTGGAAACTACTAGTGATTCACTTTATCTGCTATAACTGGCTCTTCAGACACCTCTTATAAATTTCTATGAGATCTTTTTCATGTAGAGCTCTCCCTTATTAGCTCTGAAATAATTACAATAATGTTAAATGTACATAGTCTTGTGTAGTTAATGTGTTTTTCTGCTCTGTGTACAAGGGATGAAATTTTTGTTTGCTCCTTGCTGCTGTCATTTAGAGCTGCTTTTCCTTTAGGTCCTCAATTTTATTTCCATCAGGACCATTTTGACATGCATCAAATATTGGGCCTGTGCTTGCAAATAACTATAGGCATAGAGAGATCATATTTCATGTTACCTATTCTTGTAAAACCTCAGGTCTGTTCTCATGGCACGGTATTTATGCTAGCTCTGTGACTTGCATTTGTGCAGCAAGTCACTCGTCCGGCTCTGTGCAAACAGAGGGGGGATCATGTGAGCTGTGTACCTTGGCTGCTGGGGTTGCTTTGTAGCTTGAAACCTGTAGTATGCCATAGTAGTGCATGGACTGCAGGTTTCATGAGGCTGTTATGGAAGCAAAAGGTAGTATTCTCAATAACAGCTTGAATCATTGTGCACAAAGTTTTAAGCAGCATGTAAGGATCACAGCTTCTGGTATTTTTGTGCAATATGAGAATTCCCCTTTTCTAGGATAGAGCATGAATTGACACCAGTTCTCACATACGGCCTGCCAGTGTACTGCTAAGCTGTTTTCAGATTTAGTATAGGTAATGCTAGCACATCTTGTAAGTATGATTACTCCAAATCAGTGAATTTACAACCAAAGAAGGTGCAGAATTTGGCAATGGATCAATATAATCATACCACAGACAAGTGTTGTGCGTTCTGAAACTATGTATGATTTAAATACATTTTAGAAATTATAATATATTTACTGGAAGTCTAGAAGTTAAAACAAAATTAAATTTGAGAATATGCTAAGAGGTGTTTGGTTGTAACTGAGCAACATGAAGGTCCTTCCATTGCTTGCTTCTTTCAAAAACTGACCTATTTTTCTAAACTGGTGGAACAAGGAAGCCAAAAAGAATAGAGTAGGCAGACCTAGTTGAGTTAGGCAAAAGAAGTTATTGAAGGTCACAATATTGATATGTGCATCTTTGAACAGAAGTTTGCAAGTGCATCAGTAGAATTATATCCCTTTAATGGTTCCCTCCCTGCCCATAACGAACCCATAATTATGTTTTGTGCCCATTTCAGATTGCATGGTTAAAAAATTTTGCAGTCTAAGTGGTGGCTTAGTTACAATAAGCAAGAACTAAATAACAGATTGCTGACTTTTTTTCTTTAACTAAACCGTATTGTAAAAGCTTAAGGTATTTCTAGGAGCAGAACAATAAATACAGAATTAGCTCCAATTCGTTTTTTTCAGGATGAAATATTACTTTACTGTTTTTTTGACGCTGTAGGCAAAAGATTACTCCTGATTTTTTTGACAGAATTTTCTATTGTGAAGTCATAAATTAATAAGTCAGTCATAAACAAAGGTATTGTATCTAATTTCTTTGGTGTGGTTTTTTTTTTAATGTAATTGCAGACGTTTCCTTAGTACAGTTGAAAAGAGCAGACAGAAGTATAAACCAGCTTCCCTCACTGTTGAGTTTGTCCCTTTCTTCTACCGTAAGTATTATCAACAGCATGTTTAAAAATAGTTGTCTTTGGAGGAGTGAACTTAGTGATTCCAAGTTCCTTTCCCAATGCCTGATAAATGTAAAAGCGCCTGCCTTGCTTGCTGAGGCTGAATGAAGTGAGTTACTTTGTTTGCTTGTTTCTTGCTCCGTGCATCACCGTCTTGTCGTTCTTGCTCATCTTTGAAAGCTTGGGTTTTTTACACTTTCAGTGCCTAACGTGGTTTATTAGGTCTGGTGAATTGCCAACTTTCCCATTTATTAGGGCACATGTAGTGATTGCATGTAAGTTGCCTGTAGCAACTGTAATGGTAACTTGCATGGACAAATAATCTTAGGAGAGTATTCATGTGCTTTTTGTCTCTTAATGTGATTTAATAGATAGAAAGAAGGAAACTCTGTGCCATCCAGCTAGCAAATGCTCCTTGGACTGCAGTTTGGGAAACTGCTCTGTTTTGTCTCTGGTTAAATCATTAAAAATCATGATGGCTACTTTGGAATTTGTACAAATACAAATACCATTACAGATTGGCTGTGTGAATTCTGTGGCCGTGTTCTGCACTTAAATTCTTGGGAAGGTGGGATGCCCAGCTAGTTTGCCAGTTGAGTACACCAAAGTGCTTCTGCCAACAGAATTGAAGC